GAGTGGCAAAAAAGCAGACAAAAAATTCCGTGTATTATAAACCCTCAGCTAGCCTTGAGCCATTGGCGGTTTGGTTCTGTAACACCGTGGGCCCGTGAGCTGTGGGCCAGGTCAAAGGCCACTGCTCTGAGAGGCCAGCTGTCGGGTTGAGCTGGAAACAAGCTAATGTGTAAACTGGCCCGGAGGTCTTTGTAAGTTGCCTCATCTCCCCAACTTCAGTTCAAACAAGTACTTTCATGGCAGAGTTTGGTGGCGGCTGCTATTTCATTGAACTGTTGATGTTTCCTTTTGGGAAGCCGGCTTTCTTGAGTGCCGCCATGGTGAAGGGGAAGGTATTTTCAAGGCGCCTATTTGTGGGGGAAGAGTTTGATTTGAGCAACAGCAGGGAAGGATGGGAGTGGGAGGCCTGAGGGCCTGCCGTGAGCACGGCCGTGGCCACTGCTGTCCGCTGACACTGTCTCCCTTCCGCTCCACAGACCAATGAGTGGAACAAGAACGATGACCGGCTGCTGCAGGCCGTGGAGAACGGAGATGCCGAGAAGGTGGCCTCGCTGCTCGGCAAGAAGGGGGCCAGTGCCACCAAGCAGGACAGCGAGGGCAAGACCGCGTAAGCTATGACGAGTGGTTTCTGACTGGGTTCTCGGTTCTCTGGGACCCCTAGGATCGCAGGGGACCTTCACAAGTGCCTTTAAGGGGCTTTGAGAGATTGCTGTCCCCACACCCCATGTTATTGTATGGAAGAGGGCCTTTCAGTCTAGTTCTTTCTCTTCAGGCTCCAGGTGACACAGGGGGCTTTACCTTGAATGGCTGGATTTGTTCCCAGGTATAGCCAAAGATTCCACCAGAGGAGAAACAGTACCAGGATGGCAACCAGCTGATAGCTGGGAAATGAGTTCTATCCTAGCCTAGATACAGCGTAAAAGAGAAAGAGTATTTTCTCATAACCGTGAAACCTTACTACTTCTATTATTTTTTTAAGCCCCGTTTCTAACATAGGTCAGTAATTACACCGATAGTAGGAATCTTGCTCGCCATAATTAAAGCTATTTGAGTGTGTGTGTGTGTGTGTTTCCATCCTTACGCCTGTCGTGCAGTAGAGAAATCATTGACTTTGGAGCCAAATAGACTTCTAATATGGACTCTATCACGTATCAGTTTTGTAGTCCCGGGATCTCAGTTGGTTCACTGTAAAGTGGAGATGGTGTATTCAACTCCATAGTATTTGTGAGTCTAAAACAAGATACCGATGCTGGGTGGGTGCCCCCAGAGCAGGCTCTGAGACAAGAATCTGAATGCAGGGAGTTTCTCTTGCCAGTGACCCCAGGAAGTGTACAGTGAGGGAGTGAAGTAGCCTGCTATTGGCAGGTTACTGCTAGGGTCAACCGGAATGCATTTTCACTGAGAACTTCTGGGAATCTGTTTAGACTTAGAGCAGGGGTTGGCCAACTATGTCCTGCTGTCTGTCTTTGTACATAAAGTTTTATTGGAATGCAGCCAAGTCCATTATTGATCATTGCCCGTGGCTGCTTCTGCACTGTGGAGGCAGATTTGAGTGGTCAGGACAAAGACTGTATGACCCACAAAGCTGAACATACTAACTGTGGCTTCTTACAGTAAGAGTTTGCTCACCCCAGGTTTGAAGTGTACCTCAGAGTTACCCACCCAGTGGGTAAGGAAACTGGGGTATCTTTTCCTAATCTCCTGTCCCCCCAAGGTTGAGTGCTGCTCTGAGGGACCATATGTTTACGGCCAGCACAAATCCAAGAAGGTAATTGGTGGGGCACCTATAGAGAATGACACTGTATGCAAGGAGCTAGCACAGTACCCAGCCCATAGTAGGCTCTTGATAAAGCCTGTTCCCTTTGCTTCTTAGCCTAGATGAGAGGTTCTCAACCCTGCCACCTTTAGAATTGCCTGGAGCTTTAAGAAATATGGATGCCGTGCCCACCCCAGATGTCCTGTATCACTTGATCTGTGGAGAGGCCCAGGAATCAATACTTTATGGTGTCCCACATAGGGTCAACCAGAGAGAACCAGCCTCTAGAAACTAGATTGACTCTAGATTGAAGGATTGGTAGTGAGAATAAAGGGCGCTTTTTCCTAAGATTGGGCATCACATTTTAGCAACTTTTGCCAACTAAACCCTCTTCCTGACACCCACTAGATCCATAGCATAGACGCCGACCCTGGTGTTGAGGGAGCCCATGATAGCTCAGGGTGCTGAGCTCTGTCTAGAGACAGGCTGGTGGTTTCAGGGAGAAGCGTTCTCTCTCAGTCCCTGTCTGGTCCTCTAGGAGCTGGGCTTGTCCTCAGCCAAAGCCCCAGGTTGAGTGTTACCGCCCCCCTGCCCCCCAGCTCTGGTTTGACTTTGCCTTTGCAGAGGCCTATCTGTGGGGTGTGGGGCACAGGGCGCAAACACGGTGAACTCTGACTTGACAGCCAGGGCTCCCAATAGTGGGCAGGCCTTGGTTGTTGGGGATGTGTTGAGCCTTCCCAGCCTTCTGTAATCATTGGTGCTTATCCCTCTTGCCCTCTAGATTAAAATTCTCTTGATAGAAGGGACTGTAACTTTACACGGCTATAATTACACCATCTAGCCCACCGCTGGGCTTGTTGTAGATACCCAGAAAGTATGTGTTGAACGAGTCAATTAACCTTTTCCCACCATGCCCCATGTGGAATCAGAGCTATTGGATGGACAAGGGCGGAGGCCACTATCCTCAGATTTTTGGTGCTAGACACGGTGCTTTTGGGCCACTTCTTGCAGCATTACACAGCTTTCTTGGCTCCTCCTTCCCAGTCCAGCTTTGCCAGTGTCTGCACAAAACCACCTTTCACAGCTGTGCCAGGGAAAGGGGAGATAATGGTTTATGATAGTTTTGTCTAAGACAGTACCCACTGAAGTGAAAATAGAACTTTTAGATTAGCAGCTTAGCCATGGTTGTGATCAGCTGAATAAACTTATTCCTTTTGTTAATAAGGATGTATAGAGGACACAGTCAGAAGTTTGTTTTCTATTCTCTCTCTTTTCTTTATATTGTGGTAAAATATACATAATATAAGCTTTACCACTTTAACCATAGTAGAGGATACATTTCAGTAGCATTAAGCACATTCATGATGATGTACAACCATTTTCATTGTCTATGTCCAGACATTTTTCATCATCCCAAGTAAAACCTTGTACCCATTAAGCAGTGGCACTTCCCAACCTCTTTCCCCGCCCTCCCTCTCCATGGCAACCACTGGTCTGCTTTCTCTCTATGCATGTGCCTATTCTGGGTATCCTATCTAATAAAAAGGGAATATACTAATTGACCCTCATGCTGTTGCAAAGATGGCGGCACCCACAGCCAGTAAGGAAGGAATATGTTAGTTGACTGCCACGCCTTCAAAGATGGTGGCACCAACAGCCAATAAGGAGGGAATATGCTAATTGACTGCCACACCCTCAAAGATGGTGGTGCCCACAGCCACAACATGGTGGCACCCAGTCCCCTTATCCCCGCTGGGCAGCAGGCATGCGTGCGGTAAGGCTGGGCTTGCTCCTGAGGGCTCCCAGACTGAGAGAGGGGGCAGGCCGGGCTGAAGGATCCCCTCTCCAGTGCATACACCGGACCTCAAATTTCATATAAACGGGAGCATACAATGTGGGACCTTTGTCTCTGGCTTCTTTCACTTAGCACAGTGGTTTCAAGGTCCATCTCTGTAGCACAAATCACTTCTTCATCTTACTCTCTTACAGAGCAGTTATACAAAAATGGCCACCTCCATTTTGCAGATGGTAAAACGAAGACCCATGTGATACAGCCTTTGCTGCATTCACTCTGGAACCAGTTCTAGCACGTCCAACTTTGCACGTGCAAGCCCGCCATTTTTCCCTTCGATGACACTTATGTGGAAAGTTAGAACTACGTGAAAAAGGGAGAAAGGGGGTATTTATTTTTTCAGTGCACGGTTTTCCAGAGCTACTCATCTGTTAACATTTAATCTTTCTGCTTGGAATATTCTTTTGATGATGACAGCTACTGACTGATAACTACAAGTATTTAAGTGTGAAAGGCACCACAGAATTACATCTATCTGGCTTCATATTTTCTTTCAAATCTAATGGTCTTTGTGTGCAGAATGAGAGGGGCTCTCGCTGGAAACCCTCTCTCCTGTCCTTCCAGCATCATGGAATGATGTTAGCCAGGCCAAGGGTACTCTACAACAGCGAGTCCCGGGCAGTGTGGGTCCCGTGGTGCAGCCTGTCCCCTCGCCCGCCTGCACATCTGCACTGGAGTTGGCGTGGTCCATGCACTCCTGCCTGCCTGTGCATGGTCTCCCTCGCTTCATCTTCCCGCTGTGGAGACTCTTCTGTTCCTGTGCCTGTTCTTCCCACGTGTGCTGGTGTGGTAGCACGTGAACTGCTGACCTGCTGGGAGCGGTTCTGCATGTGTGACAGGCCAGCCCAGCATGTCCCCTCCACTGGAGCTCTTGGCCCCGCCGGCCCTGTGCAGGCCACATGGCCAGCATGTCACTGGGACGTTCATGCAATGTTTTGCATTTGTCTCCTAAGGGCAAGGCCAGGTCACGCACTTGAAAGTTAGGTCCTTGTCGGTTCGTGGCCTCATTCTCTGCCTGCTTGTTCGGGTTTACCCTGTGATTTAGCCGCTTGCATGTCAGAATGAGGCTGGAGGCCTATTTTAGGAGCTTTTGTGAAAGCCCACTTTGCTAGTTTGCTCAGTGGCGCACAGTGTTTCTCTGTTGCCTGACAACCTGGAGCCCTGATGTTGGCGTTCAAGGGCCCCCCACTGGCCCAGCCCCTACTTGGCTCAGTGTTGGCTCGCACTTGCCTTTATGGGAGGTGGGGCTGCCTGCGCCCGGCCCTCCCCTCAGGTGAGAAGGTCCAGGTGGCGGCCCAGCTTCTCTGTCCAGTCCAGACGCCTCCCTCTCCGATGTGCCAAGTCCTTCTGTGGCTTTTCTTCTCTTTAAGCCACTGCAATCCTAGTTTAGAATTCGATGTGTTTTCTTACATGGAAAGAACAGGAGCAACAGCACAAAAGACTCAGCAGCTTAGGACAAACCTTCGTTGTCTGAGAGACTTGCGTCCCACACAGCACGGGAAGCTCGCTGAGGACAGGATCAGGGATGTCTGCAGCTGTGCTGGTCTTTTCCACGATCCCTCAGCACAGAGGGGCGTTTGGTCCAAATTTGTGGGAGCGACTTTTCAGGGTGATTCTCAGGATAACACACTCTCTTTTTTGCCGGTGAAAAGCGCCTGGGTAATGCATTAGGGGTGAAGTAGCTGGGGGTCCAAGAGG